ATGCCATTTCTATAAATTTTTTAAAAAGGTATCTATTAACCTCCAACCCTCTCATGTACACACCTACATACACAGGAAAAAGATGAAAAAGCCCCACATCTCCAGGTAGTGACTCATGCCTGAAATCTTAGCTCTTTGAGAGGCAGAGGCAGAAGGATCACTTGAGGCCTGGGTTCGAGACCTGCCTGGGCAACACAGGGAAACCCCTCCCCCAAAAAGCCCCACATATACTAGGTAATAAGATTACGGCTGTCTGCTGTTTTCTCCTGTTGCTCATTTTTATTTTCTAAGATGCCTATAATGAACATGATTACTCTTTTTTGTTTATTTTTTGAGACATAGTCTTGCTCTGTCACCCAGGATGGAGTACAGTGGCAAAATCTCGGCTCACTGCAACCTCCACCTCCCAGGTTCAAGCAATTCCCCTGCCTCAGTCTCCTGAGTAGCTGGGATTACAGGCATGCGCCACCACGCCCGGCTAATTTTTGTATTTTTAGTAGAGACAGGGTTTTACCTTGAAGGTCAGGCTGGTCTTGAACTCCTGACCTTGTAATCCGCCTGCCTCAGCCTCCCAAATTGCTGGGATTACAAGCATGAGCCTCCAGGCCTAGCCCAATTATTCTTTAAAAAATAAACTAAACTAAGTTTTTAAACACAATCAATGATTCTTTCAACCAATACAGAAAAAAGTGAAGAGTTCTTACAACAGGTGTATAGCCAAATAGCAAGAAGGTAAGAGTGGAGATGAAAGGAAAGTTTTCAAACAATATTAGATCATAAATCATGTCTTCCCCCCACACAGAACACTGGGCCAATCCAATGGCAAAACCACTTCTAAGTCCACTGTTAACAGAGAGTCATCCAACAAAATTCTTTATAAGTAGTAAGTACCTTAATACTGTTAGTGAAGTGTACACTCTGTCTTTGCAGTTAACTGTTGCTAATAAGTAGCTAACACTTTGTATTATTCTTTATAAAGCTTATTCTTTTCCATCCCCTTGGTTATAATTAATAACATGATTTTAAGTTCCTTGTGAAATAGGAAATGACAATTCAAAAATATAAAGAAAGGAGTATTTTCAAAGATCCACAAACTGAAACATCTACTTCAATTATCTGAAAATATAAAATGTAACACTTCCAGTTCACATCCTAGTATTAAGTCTGACTCTTAAGACTATCTTCTTTCTGCCCTAAAAGGCAGAAAATAGCCATTTACATAATTCCATTTCCCTTACTGGTAGAGCCACAAAGTGAATTGACCATTTTTAGCCTTATTAAATTTAAGGGCACATGGCACTGCTGGTTTAAGCCCAAATCAGTCCCTGGCTTCTGCACTGAGAAACCTATACGACGAATTCTAATCCCTTCAGAACTAGAATTTAACAATTCACTATATATGGGCAGGGGCAGAGGGAGGTTGTATAAGACCATATACATAGCATGTGTGAAGCCTCTGAAAATCACATCATGGTTTTCAGTCTAAAGTATAAGACCAGGTCATGCTAAGTAAACTTGGTAAATGTTTCTATTAAACATGTGCTAAACTGTAACTTAGCAATGATTAATCTCCTTCACTTACATAAAAAGCTAAAAAAAAAAGTGTGGATTTCAAGAGAAGGGTGATAGACCGTATTTGATTTAAACGCCATGTATACAGTTCTTTGTTCTATTTCAAAATGAGATTTATGTTCTTTAAGAGAGATTATTATATCTTCACAGTGGAAGGAAAGTAAAAAAGAAAGATAAACATACCCTACAATTATTATGCATTCTCATTATCAAAAAAAGGTTTATTAAATATTGTTAGGCATAATTTTGTGGGCTGAGCCAAGAGACCCTCATTATGGCCCTGGTTGTGCCTGGTTGCTGTTGTAATAGTGACAGCGGGTTCCTCAAGACTCTCACACTCCAAAGGACATGCCTCCTTCACCCTGTTTAATTCTAGTCACATGGCTTGAAATGGCAAGATTTCCCACAAACATACCCACCCAACAGAAGACCCACGGGCTTCCTGTCCTTCCCCTCCCAGCGGCAGAATCAATGAAGAAGGAGGTAAAGAGATACCACAAATGTCCAGCAGAGGCAACTCAGCTGCTTCAGGAGAAAAGAAAGTTTCTGCCATGTCTAGCGCCAGCCCACAACAGAAGAAAGGCTGGTCAGGTGAGGTGGGGGGGTTCCCTGGCTTGGGAACTTGGTGCTGGATAAGAACACACTCCCAGAGTTTCATTTCTGGACCCACCTTCTTCCTCTGCAAGTGTGAACCACACATTAGAGGAAAGATGAACAAACAAGCCAGATAAAAGATTTGTGGTGGAGGGCAGAGAAATTCTCAACAACAAATTAACCTTGGCTTCGGTTGGCTTGTCAGCTGAGAAGGCAGGAGAGAAAAGGGCTGTTTCCGTTTGTATTTTTCAGCATGCTGATAAGATTACAGTATTATTCAAGTGACACTTATTCACAGGAGTACTTTGTGATAGCAGAGGTGATGAAAAGGCTGGCAGGCCAGCAGTGTGAGGCGGGGTTTTGAAAACCTTTGCCCTTCCTTCCTCCAAGGCAGGCAGTGGAGTGCAGCAGAAAGAACCACACTGGGCTCAGCGGAATCAAGGCTCAAGTCCATCCTACTGCTCTGTCACCCAGCAATCATGTGACACCAGACAAGGTATAACAAGCCTGTGTGAGCCTCAGTTTCTCATCTGTAAAATGACATTGCGGTAAGGATTACATGAAAAATACACAAAAGATTCATAGCTATGATTGATTGATTTTCTATGTGCCAGGCACTAGGCTAAGCGCTTTCAAAACATGATCTCATCTCACTTCATTCTGCCCTGTCCAGCCAGTGCCTGGTACATGGGGCCACTCAATAAAGGTTTAGTCCTTACTTGTGCTAAAAATGAGCACAGAACGTTACACACAGGCTGAGTGCCATGTGGTTACGTGTCCACTTACGAATTTATTAGCATATTTCTGCCACATTCCTAAACCCCTCTTCTCTGGCCCTGACTCTTCCTCGGCCTCATCTGCATCCTCCAACCTCCAACCTGAGACCCAAAGATTCCAGGGTTGGCCCTGGGTTTGAATAGTGCCAGGGGCCACAAAAAAGTTTGTCCTTGCAGTGGGCAGCAGTTAGGGGTGGCTTCCAAGACCCCCTCCCACAGCACTTCCTTTCCCTGAGACCCCCTCCCACAGCACAGTTACCCCACAGTGTTTAGAAAGGGGCTCCTGGCAGCCCTGGGGACTGTCAGGGTGTTCCTGCTGAAGGAAGCTCCCAGTTGAGTTTGGAGGGTGTGGTGAGCTGAAGCCCAGAGTCAGTAATGTAAACAAAGAGGCAAAGTGTGACCAAGCTCGCCAGATATTCAGACTGAGGATGACCCCGCAGCAGGAGGTTGTGGGAGAAACAGCTGCTGCCTGGTTCAGTGGCTGGGAAGGCATTTCAGGATCCCAGGCCAATGCTTCCATCTCAGCGAGACCCCACCTCCTGGGTTAGCTAACTAGGGGCGAGAAAGTCTCCGGGACTCTGGGCAGTGCCTGGATGGGTTTTCATCATCTTGCCCACAACAGTCTTCGTTTTGAATTATATCCCCCACACAACCCAAAAATACAAAGTTCTTTTAAATAGGACAGGTTTGACAGCTTAGTTGCTTCTGTGAAAAACCCCTTTGCATTTTCTAATCACCTTTGAATTTTAAATGAGAAATGAAGACATTAAGAAAACTGTATTCAGTTTCCCATCTCACCACTGCATGAAGCTGAGCTGGCAGCCTCCCTTGTGCCTAACTTTCATTTCGTTAGCAATGTAGAGCTTTTCAGAGCACTTTCACATGCGCTGTCAAATCTGATCCTCACTTAACAACACGATGAGGTCAGTTAGGAGTGGGTAGCAGAGAGGTCCTAGAGGAGGTCTGAAAACAGCCCAAGCAGGAATAAGGTTTTAAGAGCAAGTGAATCGTTTTAAAACTCAAATTAACTAAAAACTATCTAACCTAACAAGATTTTGGAACTCCCATTCTTTACAGAAAAGATTAAGGACTGTTCAGTATGTGCAATCCAGGGTAAATTATGATTTAACGTACCTTTCCTTTGAGATTTTAAGACTCTACTATTATTAACATTAATAACTGCTACTAATTAATCTTGGCTTGGGTTAATTACACTTAATGTGCAGACAGAAAACCTGAGGGAGAGTGAGTTCCCAGGTTAATAGGTACACCTAGATGTAATTAGATCTCTAGTTACTCACTAAGATCCTAAATTTGGCATTGTGAGTTCAACATTAGTCAATGTAAAAGGAAAAAATACAATTATATCTCTCTTGTTATTAATGACACTAAAGTAAAGCTACATAAATTATGTCTGGGATGAAGAGTGGGAAAGAGGAGGCAGAAGTCAGAAGTGCCTGTGAAAAGGGTAACATACTAAAAAGTCACCCTTACTTTTTACTTTTAAAAGTTGGCCGGGTGCACGCCTGTAATCCTAGCATTTTGGGAGGCTGAGGCGGGTGGATCACTTGAGGTCAGGAGTTCAAGACCAGCCTGGACAACATGGTGAAACCTTATCTCTAACAAAAGTTATGGGGGTGTGGCAACGTGCACTTGTAATCCCAGCCTACTTGGGAAGCTAAGGCAGCAGAATCGCTTGGACCCAGGAGGTGGAGGTTGCAGTGAGATCATGCACTCCAGGCTGGGCGACAGAGCAAGTCTGTCTTGAAAAAAAAAGTGATCTATTACTTTTACTTATAATGTAAAAAACTTGGTAAGAGTCTAGTATTTAGGTATTTTATAAATATGTATTTGTGTAATTTCTTACTGAAAATTTTCAAGGAATTTTTTCCTTAGAAATAAAGGACAATATCACAATTTTGGAAGGTTTTATACAACTGTTTTTCCGTTTTTTTGTTTGTTTGTTTTTTCTATCAAGCTCCTAACCATTCAACAATGCATTTAGAATGGGAGGGGTGACTGGGGAGGCGAGCTCAGTGATGACGTGGCACTCACGTGACCAGGAGTCGACGTGTGCAGAAGTCCTTACAGTCCCAGGGCCTGTTTCCTGTAGCAGCTCCCTATTGCTGGAGAAGAGGTGCCCAAGATCCTTTCAGGATATTTGGTTTTTTGGGCGCGACACAAATCGAGGTGAGGGAAGAGAGGAAAATCCCCTGAATCCCTGCAGGATTACTTTATTCAAAAACGAAATAAAAAATACTCAATATGCAAAAGTCTTGTGAAGAAAATGACATGCCAAAGGCCGAGGAAGACCGCCCTTTGGAAGATGTACCACAGGAGGCAGAAGGAAATCCTCAACCTTCTTCAGAAGGTGTGAGCCAGGAAGCAGAAGGAAACCCCAGAGGAGGGCCAACTCAGCCTGGCCAGGGATTTAAAGAGGACACACCCGTTAGGCATTTGGACCCTGAAGAAATGATAAGAGGAGTAGATGAGCTTGAAAGGCTTAGGCAAGAAGTAAGAAGAGTGAGAAACAAGTTTGTGATGACGCATTGGAAGCAAAGACATTCACGCAGCCATCCTTATCCTGTGTGCTTTAGGCCTTGAATTCATTTTTGCCTAATATTAAAATCTGGCCCCAGCTTTCTTTCTGTTAGCATTTTTTGAAATATCTTTGACCTCCATCTTACTTTTAATCATCTGATGAAACTTTGTTTTAGGTAGTTTCCTTAGTTCCAGCATCTCATTGGATTTTGGATTTTGATCCACTTTCCAGGTTTATTTTTCAATTAGAAACTTTTACACATTTGCATGGAAATATGTTCATTCCATAATGTAAAGTAAAGCATAACAGGTTATGGCAAAGCAGCATATTTAATATCAGCTCACATATGTAGGATAAAATTCCAAACTTTGTGTGTGTGTGTGTGTGTGTGTGTATGTCTCTGTGTATGCATGCATCCATATAACATATATCAAAAACTTAACCTTAAGTTTATTTCTGTGTGGTGTGAAGTTTTATTGGCTTTCTTCTAGTTTTTCTTTTTGCTTATACGTATTTTTTAATGAACCTGTGTCTTGCACAAAAAGAATTAAGGATTTTTTTTTTTACACGTAAGAGTCAATCAGATAATTTGCAACGAGCTTATGAGCACAATGGGGGCACCTAAACTCTTGATGATAAAAGAAATGTAAACCTCACATTACCTCTGGATCTCTTAGCCAGAGGAATAAACTGGCAATTATTACAGAAAAAAAAAAAAAAAAAAAAACAATGCAGTTAATTCATTAAGTCCAAACAAAATAAATAAATTTATATCATCGTAGTATGTATTACTATCACAACAATTTCCACCTTTGAGTTAATTATGTAGATAAGATTTTATTAACAGTTCACCTACCTCTCCAAAATTTTAGAGCATCTTTATTCAAAAATGATTGTTTTCATCTATTTTTTTAAAAGTATATGTATTATAAAATAACCTGAGTTTATACTATGCAAAAGTCATCTTTAGATGATAGAAAAGGAATCTTTTTTTTTTTTTGATGATGATGATAATTTATTGAGCTCTCATGTGCCAAGTACCATGTTAGATGCATAACTAGGGTTTCATCATCTTGACAATCCAATGAGGTCAGCATCATTATCTTCCTTTTATCGGTGAGGAAACTAAAGCTCACAGGAGTTAAGAACCTTGCCCCATTTTCTCAATTAAGGGAACAGCTCAAATCTGAATCTAGATTCTCTGACTCCATAATATCCATGCTCTTTCTACCAGATCACTTTACTTTTATGTGAGAAAACTCTGGCTCTGGGTAGGAGAGTGCCCTTCCCATGTGCGTTTTGTTTTTGTTTTTGTTTTGAGACAGAGTCTCAGTGTTTCAACCCAGGCTGGAGTGCAGTGGCGTGATCTTGGTTCACTGCAACCTCCACCTCCCAGGTTCAGGCAACTGTCATACCCCAGCCTCCTGAGTAGCTGGGATTACCGGTGCATGCCACCACTCCCGGCTAATTTTTGTATTTTTGGTAGAGACAGGGTTTCGTCATGTTGGCCAGGCTGGTCTCAAACTCCTGGCCTCAGGTGATTCATCTGCCTCTGCCTCCCAAAGTGCTAGGATTACAGGCGAGAGCCAGCGCTCCTAGCCTTTCATGTGAGCTCTGACACACTTAAAAATATTAAGCTTTTATGATCACTCCTAACATCTACAACTCATGCACTGAATTTCTTACCTCTTCTGACTCTGGCAAAAACTTAAGAAATTCTCGCAAGGTCTCTGATCCATAATGCTCACTTTTTCCTTGATGAATATCTTCTACAACGGACCGAGGAGACCTTAAAAAGACAATGAATCACATTCCATTTCACGTTTGCTAGCGTGCCAACAGAGGTGCAAGCCAGTGGAAATTAAAACAAATCTCCTCCACCCTCCTTCCCACCCACCTCCTTCACAGTCTGGACGGCAGTTTTGTGTGAGTGCTCATAACAGCCCCACTGCCTGGAAACGGGAAACTTCAATACTCAGCTCAAGGTCCCTTCACCCAGAGCACCATCCTTGGGTATCCCCAAACGGCTGAAAGCGGCAACAATCACAGGGAGTCTCTTTTGTGGGGAAAAAAATAATCCCCTTTGGTCTCACTAAAACTCCTGCACAACCTTCTCCTTACACTTCAGAACACAGAACTCCAACTGCTACTTGACTCATCAGTTCAACCTCCACTGAAGGGGGGACACTAAAGGTGACTCTATAGAGTCCCTGACGGGACAGGCTTGAATGCATGCCCTGGGGCAATTCTCCATCTACTTCAAGCCACTATGTTATGTTTCCATGAAGGAAAACAGCAGAAAGTGACAGTCACTTGCAGACTCATCAAGCCATGTGTCTAAGAAGATTTGAAGGTGTGAGGAATGACTTTCACTCATATTAGAATTTGAATTTCAGCTCAGTCACACCCACAGACTTTGATACTGACAGCAGGGACTAAAGTTTCAAATGTGTGCAAAATCTTACCTCTTAAATTGCTTAAGAAATATCCCAATGTTCATGCTTCGTTTTGCATCCAAAACAGTAATCTGGAAAAAAAAATAAGAACATATAGGATTACTAAATTCAAATAAAAAGAGTTGGAGAAAGAAGGTAATTAAAATCTATCAAATGCGATACTAATTTATAAAAGAATAACCCCCAATGTATAAATCTGGTGATTAACAGATATTCCTAACATAGTTTTACAAATATTAAAAGATTATCATCTCCCCAAACTTTCTACAGTGATATTATATTTTCTTTTCTTTTTTTTTTTTTTTTTGAGACGGAGTTTCACTCTTGTTACCCAGGCTGGAGTGCAATGGCACGATCTCGGCTCACCGCAACCTCCGCCTCCTGGGTTCAGGCAATTCTCGGGCCTCAACCTCCTGAGTAGCTGGGATTACAGGCACGCGCCACCATGCCCAGCTAATGTTTTGTATTTTTAGCAGAGACGGGGTTTCACCTTGTTGACCAGGATGGTCTCGATCTCTTGACCTCGTGATCCACCCGCCTTGGCCTCCCAAAGTGCTGGGATTACAGGCTTGAGCCACCGCGCCCGGCTATATTTTCTTAAATGTAATAACACATGCCTATTTTAATATTGTATAACATTTAATATACAGATGGTCCCAACCAATGATGGTCCATCCTATGATTTTCCAAGCTTACTATGGGCTTCTTGGGATATTAAATGCATTTTCTTTCTTTTTCTTTCAGACAGAGTCTTGCTCTGTTGCCCAGGCTGGAGTGCAGTGGCACCATCTGAGCTCACTGCAACCTCTGCCCACTGGGTTCAAGCAATTATCCTGCCTCAGCCTCCAGAGAGTAGCTGGATTACAGGTGTGCACCACCCACCCAGCTAATTATTTAATTTTTTGTAGAGACGGAGCTTCACCATGTTGTCCAGGCTGGTCTCAAACTACTGACCTCAAGTGATCCACCCACCTCAGCCTCTCAAAGTACTGAGATTACAGGCATGAGTCACTATGCCTGGCTACATTTTCAACTTACAGTATTTTTGTCTTACAATGGGTTTTTATGATGCAGCCCCATCATAAATTGAGAAGCATCTGTAAAAGTCAGTCATCCTTTGGTATCCACAGAGGATTAGTTCCAGGACCCCTGGGGATACCAAAATCTGAGGATGTTCAAGTCTTGTATAAAATTGCATAGTACTTTGCATATAATCTATGCACAACATCCTGCAAACTTTAAATCATCTCTAGATTACTTCTAATACCTAATTTCATGTAAATTGTGTTATATAAATGATTGCTATACTATATTTTTAAATGCGTATTATTTTTTATTGTTGTATTGTTATTTTCTATTTTTTTCTGAATATTTTTGATCCATGGTTGGTCAAATTTGAGGATGCAAAATCTGCAGTCATGAAGAAAGGTCTGTATAATATATACACTTTAAATGTTTTTAATTTAGCAATTTCCTCTTAGAATAATATCACTCGCACTTAAAAGCCCCAATTTGGAAATGGATGCTTTGGCCTAATGAGAATCACATGAGATTTGAACTGAGAAAGTAAAAAACAACTCTGAAGATATTGCAAATTGAGTCCCAACCCTGACTTATGGATGTAAAAGAACCCATGAAGTCATTTTCAGAAACATCAATAAATTAATTTTTTTCTAAAAGAAAAATTTCATTTCATTCGAAAAGCTTATATATGTCCAATAGACCTTTTAGGAGGGTGTAAGGTAGTGTCCTACATTTTATTTACTCAAAAATTTAAAAAGAACAATGCATTTGTGCTGTATGCATTTCACCAAGGCTAAGATACTTTTTTTAAATTTTTTTTTTAATTTTTGCATTTTCCTAATCTCTGGAATCAAAATGTGTCTTATAATATATGGCATCTTTTTATTTAATGACATATGGTACAGCTGTTTTGTCAAAACCCAGATTTGGGCTACAGCAGGTTTTAACTGACCAAAATTGATAATTTCAGAGGGCTTTATATGACTAGAAATTAGATCTTTTTTTTGGTTGTTAAATACAGAAGCCATTTCTGTCTCTGGATGTAAACATCCAGGCTGCGTGGAGGAAAGGTAACCTATAAACTGCTGCATTTTTTTCCCGTTTGTTTTTTGGTAAAGGGAGACTAGCTAAAATAGGAATGTTGTTGTAATGCTCTTCCTTTCCAAATGTATGTGATTCACTGTGAACAAAAGAGAATCAGGTTTCAGACTAAATTCCTTATCTTTGGGTCTGCTTGGGAGTTTATAACCAGCAGCAAGACTGTTAACCAACGTTAATGTGACTTCCTGGCTATCAGGTTAAATTTTTACAAGAGTACGGTTGCCTTCTTTTGAAGACAAATCTTTAACAATCACATTATTTACTAACCTAGGGGTTTGTTTCATGTTAGCACAATCAACTGCCAGCCATAAAATAAACTCCCAAGCTGAAAGGGCATCCTCCTTTTTGGAATCCTATCCAGTGACTGCAGTTCAAGTTCAGTGTAAAGGGAGGAGAAAGGAGGAGAGAAAGAAAAGGTGAGAATAAAACCTGTCAAACTCAACATCCTTCAAAAGCTCATACCAAAAAAGGAATCCCAATTTATTAAGACAGAGAACTGGGTTTAAAGGGACGGTCACAGTGGCTCACGCCTGTAATCCCAGCACTTTGGGAGGCCAAGGCGGGCAGATCACAAGATCAGGAGCTGGAGACCATCCTGTCCAACATGAAACCCCATCTCTACTTAAAATACAAAAATTAGCCAGGTGTGGTGGTGCGAGCCTGTAGTCCCAGCTACTCAGGAGGCTGAGGCAGGAGAATCACTTGAACCAGCGAGTTGGAGCTTGCAGTGAGCTGAGGTGGCGCCACTGCACTCCAGCCTGGCAACAGAGCGAGACTCTGTCTCAAAAAAAAAAACAAAACAAAAAAAAAACCTGGGTTTATTACACAGTAATTCATAAATTAAAATGCCACACATAAGAATCTGCCTATTGATATAGTTACGTAGCATGTCCAAGGAACTTCCTCTGCATTCACCTAGGATGGAGAAATGACTTGTTTTGTATTTCTTTCATTGAAGTACCACTTTCTGCTACATTTAACCCTTGACTGCAGTGCTCTCCCACTCCCCAGGTGAACCAAACCCCACACTCATCAACCCTCTGGGACCCTCTTCACTCAGCCAAAATCCAGAGACATTGCTGCTGGAAAGTAATGGAGAAAATTACTCTTATGATCTCTGCTGGACAGGTAAGGAAACTGAGCCTCA